AGCTGTATCTTGCTCTGGTTAGGCTATTTAGATTATGTAGTTCAGTTTTGGTCGCTGTACTATAGAATGGATATAAATTCACTTGAACGTGTCCAGCGTAGGATGACAAAGTTAATTCCCCAAATTAGAAATCTTTCATATGATGAAAGATTAACAAAGCTTAAATTGCATTCAATGGAAAGGTGAAGAGTTAGGGGTAACATGATAGAGGTTTACAAGTGGATGAATGGACATAACAAGGGGGGATATTAATAGGGTATTAAAAGTATCAACACAAGACAGAACAAGAAACAATGGGTATAAATTGGATAAGTTTAGATTTAGGAAAGACGTGGGTAAATACTGGCTCGGTAACAGGGTTGCTGATTTGTGGAACCAATTACAGCGTAACGTTGTGGAGGTGGGGTCCCTCGAGTGTTTCAAAACATGGGTTGAACATGTATATGAGTGGGTGTAAATAGGAGCTGCCTTGTATAGGCTAATAGGCCTTCTGCAGTTACCTTGTTCTTATGAATGATTTACAAGTCATGTTGTTGTTGTTATAGATTCAGCTACTCGGAACAAGTTCCAAGTAGCACGGGCTATGGTGAGCTCGTAACTTACCTGGCACAGGCTATGGTGAGCCCGTAGAGGACTTACCTGGCAGAGGAGCGGTGTTGTGTGTCTGTAGACACGTGGTTACAAGTCAAGTATTGGATATATATATAGGCAGGAGAGAGAAAGAGGTGAAGTGAAGAGAGGGTGAGGTACAATGAAAAATTACTTGTGTGACTTGTCATGCAGTGTATGATGGCCACTGTGCTGTTTGGACGCAATACCAGCATAGTTGTATAGTTATGGTGAATAAACAAGGAAGATACTTATACATAACGTGTGTATTGTAATAAAAACAATAATAGTATGATGGGAGGAGGAATGTTGGCAAGTAAGGTGTTGGAGGAGTGAGGGAGGGCTGGCTGGGTGTGGCAGCTCACTCAAGTTTTTGGGCTCACCATACCAACTTAGTGGTTCTTTATAGTGAACACATATGTAGATGAGTATATACAATGTGTGTATATATAGTGTAATAACAGCAAAAACACTATTTGATTGATAGTAGCATGTCACATATATGAGCTCCATAATTTTGAGCTAGCAATGTTTCACACTTTGAACTATATAAATTCCACACTTTTGAATAATATTACAGCAAAAAACCAGATTAGAAACGAATGAGAAACATCAAAATAATTGTGAAACATTATATTCGCGGTAACTGCAGCTCCACGGGGTGGTGGGGCTGACTGACCCCGAGCGCTCCATTGCTCAGCACCCATGATTTACTGAACTTCCCAGCTCCATCACAGCTAATGTATGTCACATACATTTTTTTTTTTTTTTTAGTTTCCCGTGATCAGAGATAGCCTTTTAACAACATAAGAAGAGAAAATAATTGTTTGGAAAAAATTTATTTCCAAAACACCAGGGGGTTGCCATATTTGGAAGCAGAGCAGGTCAGTGGTTAATGCAGTGACACAAATGGTGGAAGTGCTTAGACATGCCAGGAAATTGCAGTGTGATGAGGATGGGAAACTTTGGTCAATAAGACAAGACCTCTCAAAGGAAGACAGAGAAAAGCTGAAGAAACATTGATGAAGTGAAATGTCTATATGGGAATAGAAATGAAGAAAAAAATTTCTATACAGTGTTAGGGACTGGAAAGCTAGTGAAATAGTACATAAAAATAAAGTAACAAAATCATTAGTAGAAGGGGAAATAAAGGACAAAGGGAAAAGGAACATGTTCCTGAAAATTGTATATACAGTACCAACACAGATGGAGTGGATAAAAAATATTGGAATAAAATACTAAAAGATATAATTCAGCTTAAGGTCCCAGATATTATCGCACTAACAGACAAAACATTAAGAAAATATTGAGGAGAAAAGAATAGAAAATAATAGAAAATATAGAAAATATATAATAGAAAATATTAAAATGAGGTCGTATACCCAAGGGAATACGTATTCCAAGGGAATCGTATTCCAAGGGAATCTCAGTTTGGAGATGTGACAGGAAAACTAGGAAGATGGAAAAAGTGGCTGTGCTGGTGAAAGAACACCTAAAGGAAAGAGTTAATAGTCAAAACCCTCGTTAAGTTGACAAAATGTCAATGCAGGTTTGGAATCAGGATGATAAACTGATAAATTATAAATGCCTACAGCCCGTAAGCAACACATGAACAAAGGAAGAACTGGATGACAAACGAGAGGGCCTCATAATGGTCATGAGAGAGATTTTAGTAAAAGCAGATAAAGATAACTATTGTTGGTACTGGGGGACTTCTTTAAAGCAATATACTAGGAGGCCTACGAAGCAAGAACGGAGGACATTTGGACAGGCAGATTTGTAAACCTCATTCTGGAGATTCTTGTATCAACACATCAAGCAGGTCACAAGAATGAGGGAAGGGGAATGTTCTGTCAGTACTGGATCTAATATTCACCAGGAAAGAAGAAGAGGTATTTGACATCCAGTACCTTCCTCCCTTAGGAAAGAGTGATCATGTCCTGTTGGAAATGAAATATGCTTTGCGATATAATCTAGAAGAAAATGAGGACAGTGAAACAGTTGATAAACTCGATTTTAAGAGAGGACACTATGGGGAACTTAGAATTTTTTTAATGAGTTTAATTGGACAGACTTGTTGCTAGGCAAGGAAGTAAACGAGATGTATGCCAAATTTTGCGAAATATATGATGAAGGCACACAAACATTCATGCCAAAACAGAGATGCAGGACCAGAAAGTAGGATTGGTTCAACAGAAATTGTGAGAGGGCCAGAGCGGAAATGACAAGAAAATGGGTTCAATATAGGAAGAGGCCTAACCCACAAATATACCAGTACTACAATTACATAACAGTGAGGAGAGAGGCAGAAGCAAACTTTGAGAAAGGTATAACAGATAAATGTAAAACAGATCCAGGCCTTTTCTGTAAATCCATTAAAACTGTAGACCCGTATCATTAGCAAGTGTGTTAGTCACAACACTAAAAACAATAGTTAAACACAAATGTGTTGAACTCCTAGACTAATGACATAATAACGGACAGACAGTATGGTTTTCGAACAAGAAGATACTGTGCAACAAATCTACTAAGTTTTTATGATAAGCCACAGAGATAATACATGAAAGAAATGGTTGGGTTGACACTGTCTATCTGGACCTATAAAAAAGACTTTTGACAGAGTCCCACACAAGAGGCTGTTCTGGAAACTGGAACATGCTGGAGGATTGACAGGGAGACTTCTTTGTTGAAAATTTTTGACAGACAGATGAGGCTGGTAATCAAAGACAATGTATCTGACTGGAGGAGTTTTACTAGCGGAGTACCACAGTGTTCAGTTCTTGCACCAGTAATGTTTGTCGTCTATATAAATGATCTACCAGAAGGAATAAAGAATTATTTCAACATGTCTGCAGATCATGCTAAGATACTAGGGAAGATGGGAGGCACTTAGAAGGATAGGAGACGATTGTAATGCCCTTCAAATCAATCTAGATAAAATAAGTACTGGAGCATAAAGTGGCAAATAAAATCCAGTGTGAATAAATGCCATGTTATGGAATGTGGAGTCGGAGAAAATAGACCACACGCATCTTACAAATTATGTGGAATGGAATTACAGAACTCCAATGAAGAACGAGACCTAGGGGGTGGTTTTGGATAGTAAGAAAGCTCTTTTGAGCTTTTCTTTGTGAGCTCCTCTCACAAAGAATATTGTGAGAGGAGCATATGCGTCGCTTTTAAACTTTCAGACTTGCCTTTAATTATATAGATGGTGAAATACTAAAGAGACTGACTGTTCATGACTTTTGTGAGACCAAAATTGGAATATGCAGCATTTGTATGGTGCCCAAATCTCAATAAACGCAAAGAAACTGGAAAAGGTGCAAAGGCATGCTACAAAGTGGTTCCCGGAACTGTAAAACAAGAGTTACGAGGAGAGAGTAGAAACGTTAAACATGCCAAAACTAGAAGATAGAAGAAAAAGAGGCGATATGATCATTACGTACAAAATACTAACAGGAATCGACCAAATTGACAAAGAGGAATTCCTGAAACCAGCAACATCACAAAGAAAACACAGATTCAAGCGAAGGAAACAAAGGTGCCAAAAAAACATCAGAAAGTTTTCTTTTGCAAACAGTGAGTGTGGTACACAGTTAAAACAAGCTAAGTGAGAATGGTGGTGGTGGTGGAGGCCAAAACCATCAGTAGTTTCAAAGCGTTATATAACAAAGAGTACTGTACTGGGAAGACGAGACACCACGAGCGTAGCTCTCATCCTGTAACTACACTGCCTATGTGAAGCCATTACTTGTGAATGCAGCACCAGCATGGAACCCACACACTGTGAAGCATAAGCAGAAATTTGAGAAAGTTCAGAGGTTTGTAACTAGATTAATATCAGAATTGAGAGACCTCGACTATGAAGACAGGTTGAGATAACTCACACTCCCATCCTTAGGGAGGAGAAGAAACAAACTGGATAAATTAAGGCTATTTAAAATAAAAAGAGGTAGGACAACAGGATATCAGTGGAAGGTGGACATGCAATCGAGTCAAAGAAATGTTAAGAAATTCTCATTCCCTGTACATGTACAATAGCTGGCAAATGGAATGGATTGAATGGGAAAATTGCTAAAGCCAATTTGATCCACATCTTCAGGAAAAATATAATGAACATATTAATGCTGAGAGAGGCAATTAGTGCATCATGTATAAGCGATTAGAAGGTGGGGCATAAAGAGCTAACTTACACTCCCCCAGTCACTGATAGGTAAGTATTTCATAAAGTGCAAAACAAAGAAAAGTGGCTTCATTAAGGAACTACTATGACTATAATTAACTTATCTGTTATTCTAAAGGCTTGATGCAAATATATACAAATGCTTATCAGTGTGGCCATGAAATATGTTTTATATACAGGTGATAAATGAGGCCTGAGAAATTCATTCTATTATAAAGATTTTTATATAACTGCAAAGTGATATAATCAACTGAAACATTATGTTCTTTGAATAGGAGAAATGTCTTTTAAGAACAAAGAAATAAAAAATAAAATATTTTCCGTTATGCACACTCCTCAGGCACCAAATTGCATAATAAAACTTAATACTGTAAAACTCTAGCAAACAAGTTGTTTCTTGAAATTTTCAAAAGCAGCATCATACTTCTCGAAGATGATGTTGCCTGCAATGGCACAGTTCACACATCTGAAATAATAAGTTCAGGCATTCCAAGAAAAAACAATACATTCAAGTCTTGATTATCTCTGACAGTGATTAACTAAGAATTAGTTAACAGAGTTAGCTGCAAGTAACTAGAGGCTTAAATAGTGATGTCCACTCGAGTACTCGTCGATTAACTCGATAATACCATCTACAGAGAAAATAAAGCAAAGGAAATGAATCTTGATTAGTTTTATATTTACACAAGCTATGTTCCTCGCCACAGTATGAGCGTACAGTACAGTAATAGTAATATAGTATACATGATGTGCACAAATAAGTGTACAATAAATACAACAACTCTAATTCGAACCACACAGACCCATTGGGTTCTGAGCATTTGACTAAGCATAGATATTTTTGGGGTCTCAAGTAAATAAACAAATTAGTTAATTTTTTACTGGTGAAATACATATGTAAAATAGATTTATTTTTTCCAACTACTGTACAGTATTTTAATAGTTTATCCAGCACATTTTTCACGTCTTGGTCTTCGTCATGGAGAATCCATACAAATATTTTTTTTTTTTTTGGCCATTTTATTGTCATCTATCTGGATATTTGGCTGATGGATAATAGATCAGCTACTGTACTGTGTGTGTTGCTTCACAGTGCATATGAACAAAGAAATTACTCGTTCTGGTACAAATTAATATGTTGGTTGACTATGCACTACAGTGCACAAGCTTCCAAGCAATCTAATTTCCCACACATACTATTAAATTTAAGTATCCACTACAAATATGAAACAAAAAATTCTGAAAGTTTTCATGTTTCAACACAAAGGAAATTCTGCTATATTTCCTTGATAATGTGTTGTAACACGAAAACGTTTGGAATTTTTGTTTCATTTTCCTCATGGATACTTATGCATGTGAAACACTTGGTTTTTGTGTGTGTGATTATTCTTGCATACTATTAAATATATATCTTTACATTTATCCTCTTAATACAAGCACCATTTGAACAATCAAGATTAAAATGTACCGAGATGCCTCTGGAGCTATTTACTGTACTGTAACTTAGATAATCAAGACTCAGTTGTATATATAAGAACCACTGGGCCCCATAATTGTCAAAATGGAATTATCCCCTAATATGCAACTTGAGCTATTTTGTCTGTAAGAAGGTCACCACATCTCTCTTGTTGGTGATCTGGCAGTTTAATGAGCTTAGATACAAAGTGAACAAAGTGAGATTCTTGTATACATACTACTTAAGGGGTTAAACATCACTTTACACACAAATTAATCAAATAAAAATTAAATAAATTAAAAACGTTCCTTCTATTCACTCTTGATGTACAAACGACATTAAGGTAACTAAATTAGCTACATAAATGGGAAATTGGAAGGAGACACCAAATGCTTTGGCAGAGCAGTCTATCCAAATTTACAGGTAACAAACAATATTACTTCTGGATACATGGCAGATAATATCATGTTAATTTCTGAATGTCATATATAACATGGTGTTAACTTGTGAGAATATGACAAACAACATGGTATTAACCATTCAAGTGTACTCTGTACACTCTCTTACTTGACCAATAAAGGCTAAACATATTATGACATTGTCTAAGGAGCAGAGGATGCCTTAGATGGTAAGACAGAAAGTAATATGATGTTTGTGTATGGTTATGGACAGTAAGAAATGGTCTGAACATTAAAAAATATAAGTTGCTATTCTTTTCCTACTATACATGGAAATATAAAATTTTCTACACTTGTGTACAGTTTACAAATGGACAATTTAGTTCCAATTCCAATAATTCTTTTTACAAGTTATTTACAAACCTGCAAAATTTAAATAAGCTACTTGTAATAATTATACCATGATAAAGGGCTGAATATCATTACTTATCATAATACTTCTAGGTGCTAGAGACTGTTCTCCTGGGGCTGCTGCTGTAACCCAACAATAGCACTCAATTACCGGTACAGGTTATGCAACTATTGTCATTCATCATTATCTCACAACAAATGCTGAAGTTTGCAAATAATTTAAAAATCTCTTTTTTTTTTTATGAATACAAAACATATCTATGACAAGCATCATAAATGTGTGTTGTCCTACGTAACTGTAGGTCCCTTGTGTGACAATTATTTTTGTAACATGCTACAGTATTAATATCACACATTTATGTTTCACATTTTCAAATACCATGCTTTCTGTCTTCTTTCTTTGGGTTATTTACAACTACAGTATTTTAATGTACATGAATTTCTTAAATACTCGTGAATGACAACACTGAAAGAGTTTTTCCCCCAAGTAGAAAAGGCATCCATAACTTTAAATTACACAGCATTAACAGATATACAAGCATACACAGTTGAAGGTATGAGTGATTTTTATATATGCTGCCTTTAAATGGTACATTTTATTGGTTTTGTCAAAAACTGACTTTTTAAACAGAACTTAAAACAAATTTTTCATTCAGTAACAATAATAATGAGAATGAGAATTTTAATGAAGATGGGGATGAGGCGGCATGAGAGCGAAAGGGAGAAGGAAAGAAGTAGCTGTATTCAAAAGCTTCTATCTTTAAGAATGAAATACAGGATGAATTTGAATGAAGATAAGGATAACAATACAAATGTCTTCACTAATTCTTCACCTGACTTTTAATTATAATCTGCTACTTCAATGTCAAAGGTACCCCTACAAGATACACTTGTTCTGGGCAATACTTTCCACTGATCAAACCTGTCAAGAGTATGGATGAGGGTATTTTTTCCTCGACTAATCATAAATTATGATGCAAAGTTCAAGGTGCAAAACAACATTATTTTTTCCTTTTTTTTTTTCATTAAATAACCAAACACATAGTTTAGTGAATATATACATATACTTTCACAGACCAGCTACTCGTCAGTATTTGCACGAACTGGACCATGCTCTTCTTCCCACTCTCTCAGGACACCATCTAGGTTGTAGCGCTTTCGATATGTTACAAAGAAGCTGCGAACATGATTCTCGGTTTTGTTGCCAACTATTTCTGCAATTGCCTTGAAATCTTTCCCAAAATATCGAACAGCTGAAAATACAAACATGATTTAAAATGCATTTTATAACTTTTTTTTTTGAGCTAATTTCTTGTGCACACGTAGGAACAATGTTACAAGTCTAAACATACTTAAGTACAAAGTTCAGTACCTAGATTTAAGCAGATTATCTTTTCCAACTACTAGAGGTTAATTTCAGAAAAAGATTTGTAAATACCATTCTTAAACACTCCACCCATTGTTCTATGTAGGTTACAGTCTCAAATATCTTGGGTTTAAGTGATCCATGAAGTATTTTGTTAATGGATGTTATGCAGAACTAGATATTTTTCAATAGCAGATGACTAAAGAAGGCTTTTGTGCTGCTATATCTGATATTTTAAAATACAAAGACATACTGTATTGAGCAGTGTAGCCACATGATGGGTCGGGTGGGGTGGGGATATGGTTGGTAGAGGTGTGGGATTGGTAAGGGAATATGGTGGATGGGATATGGATGTTTGAGTGTTTATTACTGCCAATCAATCTCTTATATTCTAACTCTGTTTAAAAATAAATGTGTGTGTGTCTGGTTATACAGCCCATTAAAAAACCCAGCGCTGAATGTAATGAGAAGCCATTTTCTGGGTGAGACCTGGAGGCTCCCCGGAGCTATCCAGGCTGATATGGATATGTATAACTTTCTGGCATCAATGTGCATGGAGTTCTTGCCTACCGGGACCACGAGCCAGAACCTGCCCCCCCCCCCCCCTTCGGAGTGGCACAAGAATCAATGGCCTATAAAAAAACCCATGTGATTGGAAGCATTCTATGTCTTCCATTTACCGGGTATGGCTCCCAGAATGATAGGCACCCCAAAACAAACCCCTATTCTGGTGAAAATATTGCTACCGAAAGCTGAACAAGTGGACAGAACTCCCCAAACAAAAATTAGCAAACGAGCATTACGTCATCATGTTGCCACGCCGCCGCTGTCTGTGCACCCCCCCCCCCCCCTCCTCTCCAGGAGGGGGAAGGGGGAGCCAAAGACCCTTGCACTGATCCAACTGGCAGTTCTTAGGCTGGATGTCAAAAACACGCAAAAACACTGCCGACCGGAGGGAGGGAGGGATGCCGGGGAGCCTCCAGGTCTCAACCAGAAAAATGGCATTTCATTACATTTAATGCTGGTTTTCTGGAAGGAGCCCCATCAGTGCCACAGAGCTAACTACCCAAAGACAAGGAAAAATACAGGGACTTACCCGAGAGATGGTCAGTCCTCACTCCTTAATGCGAAGTCGTGACAACTTCTTGTAACCGCTGACCCACCCAATGCAATGCAGGCCCTACTAGGTCCAGGGACATTGACAAGGTAGCGAGCGGCCAGGACCCTGCTCGACCTCCAAAAACCCTGTGCCCGACTGTCAACCCAATTCATGTTGCCAAAGATGGCAGCCAAAGCACAAAACTTACGAACGTCTTGGGCACGGGGATAGTCAGCAGGCTGGCTAGACTTAATAATCCTGTGGACGATCTGAGAGACCCGAGCCTGGGAACAGGAAAGGGGAAAACTGGGTCAACCCAAAGCGCGTCCATGGACACAGAAGCCGTGGCACGCAAATAACGGCAGAGAGCTGCAACCGGACACAAAACATGATGCACCCCCAGCCGAACCAACCAAGCATCAACTACCCAGGGACCCCTCCGGAAAGCAGCAGTCTCATTCTTCACCAGAAAAGAAGGAGAAGGCTGCAGACGAACAAACCGATCACCTCGACCGAAGGAGCAGAAACCTTTGCGCCGGAGGAGAGCATGAAGCTCACCCATCCGACCCCCAGAGGCCAATGCCAACAGGAAAAGAGCCTTCGAAAAACAATCCAGAACCGAAAGGGCCACAACAAAACGAGGAGAAGAATGAAAAGAGAGCACTCTGTTCAATGACCAGGACGGCTCAGGCGGCGCATGATCAGGCCGGAGGTGAAACAACGCAATGCAATGTAAAGGATCTGGGTGTACTCATGTCGGAAGACCTTACCTTTAAAGAACACAATAAAGTAGCCGTCACAACTGCAAGAAAAATGACAGGTTGGATAACAAGAACTTTTCACACTAGAGATGCTATACCGATGATGATACTTTTCAAAAACGCTTGTGCTCTCTAGAGTGGAGTACTGCTGCACAATGACAGCCCCTTTCAAAGCTGGAGAAATTGCTGACCTGGAGAGCGTGCAGAGATCCCTTACTGCTAGAATCCACTCAGTAAAAATCTAAACTATTGGGACGGACTAAAGAGCCTAAATCTGTACTCCCTTGAGCGCAGGCGGGAGAGGTACATAATAATTTACACGTGGAAAATATTAGAGGGCTGGTCCCAAACCTGCACACAGAAATAACATCACATGAGACCAGAAGACATGGCAGGATGTGCAGAATACCCCCGTTGAAAAGCAGAGGTGCAACAGGTACTCTGAGAGAGAACTCTATCAACATCAGAGCCCCGAGACTGTTCAACACGCTTCCGCTACACATAAGGGGCATAACTGGCAAACCCCTCACAGTGTTCAAGAGAGAACTGGATAAGCACCTCCAAAGAATACCTGATCAACCAGGCTGTGACTTATACGTCAGGCTGCGAGCAGCAGCGTCCAACCACCTGGTTGATCAGTCCAGCAACCAGGAGGCCTGGTCGACGACAGGGCCGCGGGGACGCTAAGCCCCGGAAGCACCACAAGGTAACCTCAAGGTAAGATAAGGTAACGCCCGAGACAGCTTGCGAAACTGTGCAGACGTGACATCAATACCGAAAGCAAGCTGAAGCGGCTCCACCAGCTCCGCACGATACGAGGCGACAGTGTTAGGCATACGGAGACGGTCCTGGAACAACTAAGAGAGAAAGGACAACACCCTAACAGAAAGCGAAGTACAACGACGAAGACGTAAGAAGAACCGGAGGACCGCCAGGAAACTTCATACTGCTGCAGAGACGAAGCCCGCAGGTGGGATACTAATAAGGAAGCCACCTGATTACCATAGAGATGATGATAAACTCGAGTCAAAAATACCATACGCAAAGACTCGAGGAGAAGATCAAACCATCCACGTGACGTACCAGTCCGATCTACTGAAGAGGCGGAACGAGGAAAAACCTCCGGGTTCGGACACCGAGCAAGCAGCGCCTCAAACCACAGCTGGGCTGCTCACCAAGGGGCCAAGAGGATAATTCTCCCCTGGTGAGTCTCCAAGCGAGTCAGGACCTGGAGCAATAGCTGAACCGGGGGAAAGAGGTACGGGAACCCCCACCTCGACCAGTCCTGCCGAAAGGCGTCAACCCCGACGACCTTGCAGTTGGGAAAGGGCGCCACATACAGGGGAAGGCGCCGCGACCACGCCGATGCGAAGAGGTCCACCTCAGAGCGTCCAAACGTCTGGCAAAGCCAACGGAAGGAGTCGGCGTCGACCATCCATTCCGTGGAGAGGGGAACGAAAAATGAGACAGACCATCGGCCAAGACGTTGGACACTTACCTGCTTGATGGGATTCTGGGAGTTCTTCTACTCCCCAAGCCCGGCCCAAGGCCAGGCTTGACTTGTGAGAGTTTGGTCCACCAGGCTGTTGCTTGGAGCGGCCCGCAGGCCCACATACCCACTAAAGCCTGGTTGGTCCGGAACGTCTTTTAGAAAACAGTCAAGTTTTCTCTTGAAGATGTCCACGGTTGTTCCGGTAATATTTCTCATAGTCGCTGGGAGGATGTTGAACAGCTGCGAACCTCTGCTGTTTGTACAGTGTTCTCTGATTGTGCCTATGGCATCCCTGCTCTTCACTGGTTCTATTCTGCATTTTCTTCCATATCGTTCACTCCAGTGCGTTGTTATTTTACTGTGTAGATTAGGGACCTGGCCCTCCAGTATTTTCCATGGGTATATTATTTGTTATCTCTCTCGTCTCCTTTCTAGTGAGTACATTTGGAGAGCTTTGAGACGATCCCAATAATTTAGGTGCTTTATCGCGTCTATGCGTGCAGTATATGTTCTCTGTATTCCCTCTATTTCAGCAATCTCTACTGCTCTGAAGGGGGAAATGAGTACTTAGCAGTACTCGAGATGGGACAACACCAGTGACTTAAAGAGTACAACCATCGTGATGGGATCTCTGGATTTGAAAGTTCTCGTAATCCATCCTATGATCCATCTGGATGTTTGTCCATCTTAGACTTGGTAAATTGAAATCTCCAAGGAAGATAATAGGTGCTGGGTTCGCTAGATTATCAGGGATGTTCCCTATTTTGTGCATCTGCTTTGTGAATTCCTCAACCGTTGTATCTGGCAGTTAATATATTAGAATAACAATTAAGTTTTTTTTCTACCTTAATTCCAAGTACCTTTACCACCTCATTAGTTGAGTTTAGTAGCTCTGTGCATACCAGGTTCTCTTTAATATACAGACCTACTCCTCCATTTGACCTATTTTCTCTATCACATCTATATAAATTATAATTTAGAATCCAGAATTCACTATCCATGTAATCTTTCGTATGAGTTTCCGTGAATGCCCCACTCCCCGCACGTGAACTGCCAGGAGAGCCAGACCCCGAGAACTCAGCAGACGAGTCACCCGAAGCAACCAGCGCCAAAGAGCCAAGGACCGCATCGAACACCCCCCGAAGCTCGGGTAGGGGCCAAGGCACTGAACCCCAAAAAACCCTTAGAGGAAGCCGGTGACGCTGCAACAGACACAAAGCCCCCCGGGGTTCGAACCCAGTGATCGCAAGAGAAGTGGAAGGGAAGTCCCCAAAGGAACCAGAACAGCCGACAAAGCCAAACCCAACCCGGCGGGTAGACCAGCATCGCGAAGCTCAGGCTCCCGCATAGACCCTCGAGCAACCGCCGGGTGACCCGGGAGCTCCAGAAACAGGCACAAGCGGGATTGCAGCCACAGAAAAAGCCTCCGGAGGAAGAGACAAGGAAGCGGTCCGAGAGCCCCACACAAGGCCCAGCCAGGTCCGAACCTGGGAGGGAACCAGATGGGACTTCCTCCAGTTCACCAAGAACCCGAACCCGGCGAGCTGAGAAAAAATCAGATCCCTGGCTAGCAGACAAGCGGACTGGCTGGGAGCCTAAACCAGCCAGTCGTCAAGGTAGACCAACATCTGAACACCTACCAAACACCAGTGGTAAATAGGGCAGAACCCCCGACCAAGACAAAAACAAAAAGAAAAACAAAACCCCGTAAGAGAACAATGTACCCCAAGGAACAGAGCCGGCCGCTGTGATAGATGACAACAAGCTGTGCAGCACCATGCGCCCCTTACCAGTGCTAAAACTGTCTCTTACCCTACGGTAAACTAGGGAGACAAAACACCAAATACCCAAAGGGCAGCCGAGAAACCAAGCAGTAAAATGGACACACAGAGGCGGAACTTCTGTAAGCATGAGGTACCTCTGTAAACATACGGCAGTCCAACATGACATTGGAACCCCCCCCGAACGTGAACTGCCAGGAGAGCCAAACCCAGAGAACTCAGCAGACGAATCACCTGAAGTGACCAGCCCCAAAGAGCAAAGAACAGCATGGAACTCCGCCCTCGGTTCAGGCAATGAACCACTGGAGAACAGTCCGAATGGAGCTGGATCGTTGATCTGTGAGAGACCTGAACCCTCCGGAGTGACATGAACACAGCCGCAAACTCCCGCACCGTGCTGTGAGCCCGACTGAAGGACGGACCCAACCATCCCTGGCCGCCCTGGTGAGTACTGGTCACAAAGCCCCAGCTAAGAGACGACGCGTCCGTGAACACATCGAGCGAGGCCTCGGGTAGGCGCCAAGGCATTGAACCCTGAAGAACCCAGAGAGGAAGCCAGTGACATAGCAACCGACGCAAAGCCCATGGAAGCTAAACCCAGCGGTCGTGAGAGAGGCGGAAGGGACATCAGCGAAGGAACCTGACAGCCGATGAAAAGACACCCAACCCAGAGTAGACAATAATGGCAAAATTCAGGCTCCCGCACAAACCCTTGAGCAACTGCCGCGTGACCCAAGAGCTCCTCAGGTACAGACGAAGGCGAGAACACAGGTGAAGCAAAGCCCCCAGAGGAAGAGACAAAGAAGTGGTCCGAGCGTCATACACAAGATCCAACCAAGACCGATCCTAATAGGGAACCAGATGGGACTTCTGCCAGTTCACCAGGCACCCGAACTTGGCGAGCTAAGAAAGAACCAAATCCCTGATGAGCAGACACGCGGACTGGTTGGGAGCCCAAACCAGCCAGTCGTCAAGGTAGGCAGAACCCGAAACACCTAACAGAAGCAGGAGGGCCACCATGACCTGAATAAGGAGTGTGAAAACGCGAGGCGCCAGATTCAAAGGCAACGAAAGCGGTAAGCTTGACGTCCCTGAATTGGAAGCATTCTATGTCTGCCTTCGACTGGGTTAGGCACCCAGATAGGTAGGCGCCGAATGAGTGGATAGAACTCCCCAAACAAAAACGAGCAAACTAGTATGACGTCACCGTCGTCACCGGAGCTTACTAGGCTGATATGCTAATGTAAGACTTTGGCATCAGTCATGTGTATGACAATAATATTTGTCATTATTACTGACAAATTAGCCAGGCTCCTGCTCAAAATTGTCAAACCAAAAAAATCATTACAATGAAGTGTATTCTCGCCAAATAGAACTCAGATAATCTAATTACTGGGTAATTTGCACAAAATCGATGTACATACAGATATATACTTTGCATGCAATTCAGGCTACCCAGTATGATTATAGATCAGCATGTGCACATAGGAAGCTGCCAACTAGACTTTGGTTTTTGTCTTTTGATGAGTATTTCTGGGGAGAGCCCCTTCGGCTCCCCAGAGCTTACTAGGCTGATATGCTAGTGTCAGACTTTGGCATCAGTCATGTATATGGAGTTCTGTGGGCCTACCGGGTACCACGAGCCAGAACCTGGCCCCCTCAGAGAGGCCTGAGGAGCAATGGGTTATAGAAACCCCAGTGAGGTTGGAAGCATTCTATGTCTGCCATGGACCAGGTCAGGCACCCAGAAAGGTAAGCGTCCCAAAACAAACACCTATTCTAGTGAAAATTGCTATCACAAGCCGAACAAGTGGATAGAACTACCCTAAAAGAAACGAGCAAACGATCATGACGTCACACATCACCCCGCCGCTGTCTGCGCAGCTCCCCCCTTCCCGGGAGGGAGGAGGGGGAGCCCCAGACCCACCGCGCCGGCTATCCACCACCAGTTCTGAGGCTGGATGTAAAAAAAAAACATAAAAAAACGCCGACCGGAGGGAGGGAGGCCGGGGAGCCTCCAGATCTCATCCAGAAAATGGCGTTTCATTACATTTAACGCTGGTTTTCTGGGGGGGGAGCCCCATTGGCTCCCCGGAGCTAACTACTTACAGAGGAAAATATAGAGGGACATACCCGGGAAGCGGTCGCTGCTCACTCCACAACTCGAAGTCGAGACAACTGGCTGCAATCGCCGACCCAAAGCGACACAGGAGCGAATAGGCCCAGGAACGTCAACGAGATAATGAGCAGCCAGGACCCTGTTCGACCGCCAACTGCCCCGAGCCCGAACATCAGACCAGGACATGTCACCAAAAGCGACAGCAAGGGCAGAGAACTTATGGACATCACGGGCACAAGGATAGACTGCAGGCAGGCTGGACGCAATAACTCTGCAGACGACCTGGGAGACCCGAACCCACGTACAGGGAAGAAGGGAAACCGGATCAACCCAAAGTGCATCCCCGGACACAGAAGCCGTGGCGCACACATAATGGCGGATGGCCGCAACTGAACACAAAGCATGATGCACCCCCGGCCCGACCAACTAAACATCACCAACCCAAGGACCACTCCGGAAAGCAGCAGCCTCATTCGTCGATAGAAAAGATGGGGATGGCTGCAGATGAACAAAACGATCGCCCCAACTTAGGGAGCAGAAACCCCCGCGCCAGAGGAGAGCATGCAGCTCCCCGACCCAAACCCCAGAGGCTAATGCAGGAAAAGAGCTCCTGAGAAACAAACCGGAACCTAAGAGGCCACAATAAACAGAGGAGAAGAAAGAAAAAAGAGCACTCTGTCCAATGACCAGGACGGCTCAGGCGGTACATGAGCAAGCCTGAGGTGAAAAATGCATGAGACAGCTTGCGGAATGGTACAGAAGTAACATCAATACCAAATGCAAGCAGAAGTGGCTCCGCCAGTGCCGCACGATACGAGGCAACAGTATGTGGCAAAATGACGGCCCCCGAACCCCCACAAGAGAAGGACAAGACCACGCCACCAAAACACGCCACCTAAGACGGGACAGAAGGAAAAAGAAAGGACCGCCAAAAAAACCCACACTGCCGCAAAGAAGCACACAGGTGGGACACCATCAACGAAGTCACCTGATCACCAACAGAACGTGAAAGACTTGAAGCAGAGCCGAACCAGCCCTGCCATGGACCAAATGAGCTGAGGAAGAGGCGGAGCCGCGGGAAGATCTCTGGTCCCAGACCAGCACTCGAACCGAGGGGTACGAGCTAAGATGAGAGACAACAGGAATTAAACCGCACGTCACTGGGAGACAGAAGAACCAGAGGGGACAACACCACCACAAGCAAGACCCCTCAGAAGAAATGAGAGGGTAGATAAAGACAGACCAATAAACACAAGGGGCACACTTACCAGGGAACACAGGGGGAGTTCTATCCACTTGTTCGGCTTGTGATAGCAATTTTCCCCAGAATATGAGTTTGTTTTGGGACGCTTACCTTTCTGGATGCCTGACTTGGTCGATAGCAGACAGAATGCTTCCAACCACACGGGGGTTTCTATAGGCCATTGCTCCCCAGGCCTCTCTGAGGGGGCCAGGTTCTGGCTCATGGTCCTCGGTAGGCCCACAGAACTCCATACACATGACTGATGCCAAAGTCTGACATTAGCATATCAGCCTAGTAAGCTCTGGGAAGCCAAAGGGGCTCCCCCCAGAAATTCTCATCAAAAGACAAAAACCAAAGTCAAGTTGGCAGCTTCCTATGTGCACATGCTGATCTATAATCATACTGGGTAGCCTGAATTGTATGCAGAGTGTATACCTGTATGTACATCGATTTTGTGCAAATTACCCAATACGTAATTAGATTACACTGTATCTGAATTCTGCTTGGTGAATACACTACATTGTAATGATTTTTTTGGTTTGACAATTTTCAGCAGGAGCCTGGCTAATTTGTCAATAGTATTCACCAAATGGTGTGCTTTGTCTAGTTCTCTAACTGGAATCCCCTTTCTAGTATGCTAAAAGTTATCCCATTCATTGGCCCAGGAGTAACCATCACAGTATGAATTGAACTATATGGGAAGCTTTCAGTGTTTTCCACTGTTGATCCACAATATGTTATCTATTCTGTTTACCTTGGACAGCCAAAAGAAGTTCCTCTTGTGACCACTTAGCCTTGGGAGGTCCAGTCTGTGCTGGCGGCCGATATGGAGTTATACCATCGTCTGCTATTTTACTTCGTAGACCACTGATCTGTGCCTTGTTGCTCTGCACCTAAAATGCCACAATACAATTATTGAATACCTCAAAAGAATAAAATACATAACTTGATTTCATAAAAAAAAACTAGTGTTGAATGTAATGAAATGCCATTTTCTGGGTGGGACACAGAGACTCCCTAGAGCTATCTGGACTGATATGAATATATTAGATCCTGGCATCAGTTAAAGCGAATGGAGTTCTTAGGCCTACCGGGGACCACGAGCCAGAACCTGGCCCCCACAGAGAGGCACGAGGAGCAATGGCTTATAGAAACCCCCGTGTGGTTGGAACCATTCTATGTCTGCCATCGACCAAGTCAGGCACGCAGAAAGGTATGCGCCCCAAAACAAACCCCTATTCTGGTTAAGAAATTGCTACTGAAAGCCGAACTAGTGGACAGAACTCCCTAAATGAAAACAAGCATGATGTCACCATGTCACCATACCGCTATCTGAGCAGCTTCCCCCTCCCAGGAGTGGAAAGGGTGAGCACCAAACCCTCTCTCACCAGCTATCCACACCCCAATTCTGAGGCTGGATGTCAAAAACATGCGAAAAACTGCCGTCTGGAGTAAGGGAGGGTTGGCAGGAAGTCTAAAGGTCTCACGTGTTTCATTACATTCAACACTGGTTTTCTGGGGGAGGGAGCCCCTTTGGCTCCCTGGAGCTACTTGCCCAAAGACAAAAACAAGAGGGACCAGGAGGCGATCGGCTCTCGCTCCTCAACTTGAAGTCGAGACAACTAGCTGCAACCGCTGACCAAAGAATGGCAAGAGACATATGAGAAAAGAATGCAGAAAGATTGGCCAACAGAAGCACATCAAGGGCATGAGGGCATAAGACACTGCGGATGACCTGAGAAACATGAGCCCTGGAACAGGGAACTAGGGAAACAAGAGTGAACCACAAAGATACCACCAAAATAGAACAGGTGGTACAATGGCAGCAGCATAAAGCCGGCACCATAAATGATACAACTCCAGCAGAAACAACCAAGCATTCACCACCAGAGGATCCACCGGCAACCCAACAAAGCACCCACAATTGCCAAAACAAAAGCCTCGGTGCTGAAGGTCCTCAAGAAGCACCCCTCACCTGGCAACCAGAAGCCAGAGAAAGCAAAAGAATGCTTACTGAAACAGGCCAGGTCCAAAGGGGCCACTGGAAACAGAATAGATGAAAGAAACAGAAAGAACTTAGTCAAGGGACCAGGCAGGCTCAGGTAGCACAGGTGCAGGCTGGTGCAGGTGAAACGATGTACAGTACAAGAAAGCATGTGAAACAGGGCCAGAGGAAATGACCCAGAATGCAAGCTAGACCAGCCTGGCAACACCGCAAGAAGAGAGTAGGCGACAGTATACGGAAGAAGACACAGAGCAAGGAAAAGCCAAAAAGAGGATGGAACCACCAATCAAAAACTGAAAAGCAACAATGAAACAACAAAGTGGAGGAAGGCTCAACAAGCCATGACAAACTGTCATCAGGATGTTCGGGTTTTAAACACTGACAAACTGTCTCCAGTGGGACACCATTAACTAGCCACCTGATCACCATAAGATGGTGATAAACACACGTCAAAAACATCAGATGGCAAGAATGGAGGAGTAGGTCGAACCAGCGAGGTACGTCACTCGCCCAGGCCTTGGAAAGAGGCAGAGCTGTGGATAAAGGCCTGGGATTGGACGCTGAACAAGTAGTGCCTGAAACCAAGACTTGACTGGCTACCAAGTTGTCAGAAGGAACACCATCCCGTTGTAGGACTCCAACCACACCAGCCCCTGGAGCAACAACTGGACCGGGTGGAAGAGGCACAGAAACCCCTACCTCAACCAGTCCAACTGAAAGGCATTCATTGTGAGGACCTTACAGTCAGGGAATGGCACCGTGTAAAGGAGGAGATGCTAAGACAAAGCCAACATAAAAAAGTCCATGTCCAGGACCTGAAAGTCTTGCAAAACAAGAGGAAGGAAGCAGTGATGACAGTCCACTCAGTGAACTGAGTGGACTGTCATCACTCAGACAAAACATTATTTTTTTGACATTTACACTTTGTCATCACCCCGGGACAAAACTCGGACAGACTGTCGAAAAGGACGTTGGACACTCCCAGAACATGAACAGCATAGAGAGCCAAACCCCACTGAGAACCAAGAATAAGAACTATATGCAATGTCCAGCTCCAAATAGGCAGGGGACCAAAGTGAAGCCCATCCCAAAGGCAAAGTTGAGGCTCCCACACAGCTACTCAAGTATCTGGCAAGTCACCCAGGGTGGACTCAACACCAACAAACAGCGGCACTGCAACCGAGACAAGGCCGCCAGAGGTAGGGACCATGACACAGACCAAGAGTCCCAAATGTGGCCCAACCAAGATTGAACCTGGGTTGGAACCAACTGTGACCTCCACCAACCCACCAGAACTCAAACCAGGCGAGCTGGGAAAGAACCAGACCCCTGGCTATCAGATACATGAACTGGCTGGAAGCACACATCAGTCACCATTGAGCAGGCTAAAACCCAAACACCTAAGAGGTGACGTTGGGTCACCACAACCAGAGCCAAGTTCATAAAAATGAGTGGATCCATCTTACCGCTTCCAGGTACAAACGGGAGGACCTGGAAGCGGTAAACCTGATGCCCCACAACAAACCCTAACAATCTCTGAACCTCCGATGAATAGGGACGTGCCAGCAAGCGTCTCGGAGGTCCAGGTCCCCAGCGTTCAGCTCGAGAGTAAGATGGACCTAGGACAGTTTAGTCATCTGGAAAGAGGGACAAGGAATTAACTAGTTCAACCACAAAAAGTCCAGAATAAACCAGAGAGTCAGAGAAACCTGTTCCAGAATCAGAAGAAAGGCGAAAATCCACTTAAGAGACGTAGCCATTCCGACCACACCTGAAGCCACCCAACCAGAGATGACCTTTCTCGAGACATATAAAACATGTATGTATATTAACGAATTCACGTGAAATAAATATTGTTCCGAGAGAGAGTTGCTCGGTCGATCGATCTGTCAGGAGTCGGAGATCGGCGATTATAAAAATACACGTATCTTCACTTTAAATTTAAATATGCCCATGATAAGATATTTAGAATGAAGCTTATATTTCTATCTTTCTTGCGACATATAAAACCCTTACGTTTATTAACCACTTAACTGCGCCAACCGAGAAAACTATTTATTATTTTTCTGTACCAATTCTAAATGTGTACGAGGTTGGTTGTGTACGAAAAGGACTTTTAGGATCTCCAGTGAGAGGCAGCCATTATGGAAAAAATTCCCAGAATGCCCTAGGGCTGCTGGCTGGGTTAGTACTGAATGAGCTACCATGGGTGACGCATGCGCCTCTGGCTCCCAAACACCTGTCCGACGCGGTGTTGAAAGATAATGCTCTGTCTGTGAAATTCAAACCTTATTGCTTGAAGATCATAAGGATCATAATATTGGTGAAGCTAGGCACAATAAGGACCTAACACAAAATGATAGGGAAATGGGACAGGAGTCATTGCTGTAAACAACCGATGGCTGGAAAGGCGGGATCCAAGAGCCAATGCTTGATCCTGCAAGCACAAATAGGTGAGTACAAAGGTCGGATGTAAGTGATATAGAACCTATGAGGACGATACAGCAAGCGTATCCAGTTGTAGCTCTGAGTGTCACCCTTGCAATCCTATGCTATCTCCAATTTATTTAGATGATACATAGATGGATCGTTTTCTGCATTCAGTGATGATGCATCTGATACAAGTAGCATAGATGAACAGTGTTAGTGGCTTCCATGGTGGTGTTTTCCATAGATATTTTCAAGAATATCTGAATCTCTTTCTGACTGACGAACACTCTTTGAGGTAAGCTGAATCTCTTTCTGACTGATGGACACTCTTTGAGGCAAGCTGAATCTCTTCCTGTGTGGGACCATACAAAGCGATCTTTTCAAGACTACCTTACAAATTGATCTTTTCCTATAATCTTTTCAATACTACCTTATACTTTACAAGCTTGGCTACATACAACCTACAAGTACTAAAGCCAAGGGTGTACGTGAGTGCGTTATTTGCAAGCACACAGAATGAAGAAACAGGAAGCGAAAATTTATCTGTACCTGGTGTACTGAGAGCGAAGTCGCGCTGTGTACCATGGACTACTTCGTTGATTATTACTCACTTCCGAAGTACTGAGTGTAATACAGTGTTACTGTGTAAATAGTGTGTGAAACTGTACATATTATAATTTTAGTGAATTTTTAACAGGTAATATTGCGACAATAAACATTTATTGTGGACACATTACTAACACATGTTTCACAGTTCCATGGAACATTATGAACGTTCTACTGTATACATATTGTAAAGGACACAAATATGTATCATATACGATAAAAAAAAAAAAAATAAAACCGAACTGGAAATACATAAAACAAATACTGTAATTGATAATATATTTGTTCAACACCCGGTGCTTGAATGGCCCGCGCGACCGTGTCTGGGCGATTCACGCATGGGCGACTAGGCCCTGATGACGTCACAGCGCACCTTGTCCACGTCCCCACAGCCAAAGTAAGTGGAATTTGGTATTTATTTTTACATAGACATGTTCAGGGAAGGGAATTTATCATTTTATGAAGAAAAAAAATTGTTTGGGAAAACTTTATTTCATGCGCACCGGGGGAATTTCACAATAAACTCGGCACAGCACGGTGGTTAAGGAATCTGCGTGAAATAGGCATTGTTCTGAGATGAATGCTGCGGGCTTCGAGCTCGACGACTGATGAAAACTGCCACTTCTATAAAACTATAAATATCTTCGGTTTTACTTAAAATATTTGTCTGGTAGAGGTTTTACATGTGGATCCCATTTCTGTCTTTCCTTTGACTAATAAATAATCTTGGTTTAACAAGTTATCAAGATGTTTTTAACAATATTCTTTCCGCATTCGTTTATTCCAACATGGGTGACCATTTTGAAACCGCGATACATGGATTAACCCATCCCATAGTTGGGTCAGTTTCCA